TTTATATGAAAACTGTTCGCCTAGATCGGACGGCAGACCTTTACAAGTGGTGGTCAGCAAACGCAAAACAGTATCCAAGCCTGACAGAATTCGCTAAGATTTATCTATCGTCTCCCGGCAGTAGTGTATATAGTGAGAGGCTATTTTCAGAAGCAGGTATAGTTTATGAGGAAAAGCGCAATCGTTTGCTATCAACAAATGCTGAAAAAATTGTTTTCATTCATTACAACTTACCACTGATAGATTTTAAGTATTAAATGTAATAATTTATGATTAAAATAAATACGTTTTTGAGTAATATGTGCGGTTTTTTTTCATGATTTGGTATTCGGTATTCGGCCGAATGTTGCATACTATTCGGCCGAATACCGAATATTAAAAAAAGTAGCCGAATATTCGTGGCATCTCTAGTTTATTGACCACTGCTGATGCGATAAAGACAAGGCGGTGGCTTGTCAACAAATTGAGAAGAACAAAACAGATGACTTTAACATGATACTTTCAAAATTAATTGTAACTGATGCTTATTTTTTGATAACTACAAAGTTAAAATAAACAGTAAGCTTACTTGTTAGTCTTATTTAAAAATTATCACATTCCCATTCACATTAGTTCATATATGGGAGAGTCTATTGTAAGATTTTTCAAATCAAATATTTTATGGATTTAATGACATGTCAGAAGAGAAGAAATTTGACAAACTAATCAGAATTTTATATTTCTTGAGAATTTATTAATATTTAAACTTGCTGTAGCATATTCAAATTTAACATTATTTAGGAAATCAAAAGAATAACAATTTTTTTTTCTTTTGATTAGAATAAACAACAAAATGACCATCTGTCTGCAGTTGTTAAAACTGAAGATGATAATTCTTTCTATGAAGAAGGTGAGTCTGGTTTTATAATTAACCTGTCCTGCATTGTTCCCAAAAATATTTGCGTTAACCTCATTGACCTGCGTGGGTGATCCCGAATATTTTTGTGTCAACATCGGAACGTTTTTGATACTAGATGTCGCTATGCATCACAATTTTTATATTAAAACGAAGTTTTGAAATATAAATTTTTTTGTTTCTATATTTTTCAATATATTTATTTTGTATGTGCAACATAAAAAAATAATTTTTAATAACACAGTAAACACGATTATTTTAAAAAAAAATTTAAGGCTTAGCATCGACGAAAATTCAACATGGTGGTACAGTCAACAGATAAAAATTTCAACATCGGATAGGTTAAACAACTTGAATCCAAAAGTATCGGTTAGAATTATTTATGTAACAATTAATAATTTCCGATCAGGCATTCATGCCAAAATTTAATAGATGTTAATTTCTTTTTTTTCTTTCTTTCTTTTTTTTTTTTTTTTTGATGAAACGGTCATATTAAATATTTAAAATTGAAATTTGCAATCGTCTAAAATATTCTTATTAATTAATGTCTCAAGAAAAGACAAAAAATTGTACAAAATTAACAGATATGAGAATCGTGTGATGTTTTATTCTGCCCATCTAATTTCTTTACGCAATTAGATGAGCAGAAGGCCCAAAAGATTAGTGTTGCTCCAAAGGACCCAGGCTGAAATCTGTGCAAGAGACTTGCTAGGAATTTTTTGCGGACTGTTATGGGTTCCCGGATATGTTGGCGTCCAGCCATCCCCGTCATGTGCCCGTGAAAACAGCTCTTGGTGACCATGGGGCAGAGTTTAAAAAAAAAAAAAAACAAAATTAGGAAATAAATTATCAGTGCAACAAATTTTAATTGATTGATTTTCTGGTAAATAAATGAAATAGTCACAGAAAATAAACTTTTTATATTTGTTGTAAGTTTAGAGAGACTGTTTTGATTTTCAATGTTACAAAGATTGTCTGATAAGTACCTAAAATATAAAATTTCATTTAAGTGTTTAGTCTATTATGTCATATGTTATATTTTGGAATTGTAAGTATTACAAAGCCAAATAAATAAACAACAATATATATATATATTATATATATAAATTAGGATATTTGTTTGCTATACACTCTTAGGTCATTTGGCCAATTGCTTCGAAACTCTGCAGTTATGTTAAAATATCTCTAACTTAGATAATGTACATCCTATCCCAAACTATCAAATAATTTTTGTCTACATTTGATTGCTGGCTTTACATGTAGCACCATCTATTGGAAAAAAATTTAACAAAGTAATTAACTAAATATAATTCTTACAAAAAAAGGATATCACTTAAAAATATATATTTATATTATATTCACTGAATTACTTCAACAGGTAGCACATTGCACTTCCTGCTTGAAGTGTAGTAATGTTTTTTCTCCGTACATCATACTTTTCCTGTTACCAATAGAGTTGTGCCAGTCATCTATATAACACTTTTGAGGGGAACTTTTTGAATTGAAATAACGTGACTTGCACTACAAATCAGAAGTTCATATATAGTTAATCTGGTCCTCTTTCTCTTATGATTTCCATGTCTGGTCTCGATTTTCATCTATCTAACTCCGTTCTCAAGATTAAGGAAGGACAGTGGGAATTTAAGTACAGGTAGCCCTCGGTTTACGCCGATTCACAATAAAGCCACTGCGCAATTCACCGTTTCGAGGTGTAATTCCCTGATTTTCCCTATGCTAGACTGATTTTCATTTCAGTGTTGACTTATTTACCGAGCTGCGACATTGTACATTCGTTAAAACAAAGATTTTTATTGAATATATTTATTTTTTCTGTTTAATATTTTTAGGTATGTATACATTTACATTAAATTAATACTAAAATACTAAACGTTTAGGTACTCACGAGTCAATATATTAAACTTAATAGTCCAATAAATGACGTCCGAATCCATAGCGCCAATGAATGTATTCCATATCTGTTCGTTCAGGAAAACACCTTATGACGCAATAGCATTTCCGGCGATCACAAATTATCGTTAGTGAGACATATCTACTTCTCGTTGGCCAGACGATATTTACCTCTCCTTAGCCACCTTGAATTTTCCCGCTCAAAGTGACCTTTTATATGCACTACGGCGACCGGTGGTCGACCAATCAGTGTCTCCGCTCGTCCGTAGCTCTACGTCGGGTTAGCGTATCCTTTCAACTAAGGAAAGTTTGACGGATGAAGTTTGTGAGTTAGACAATGATTGGGAGCGAAGTGCAAATGTAAAAAGGAACATCATATTCGACCATATTCCGAAATTCTTAATGAAAGAAATCAAAAATATAAACAATTAAAGATGGATACTTTTTTCCGAAAAATGTAAGAAATTCGAAACTAAAATTTTTAAATAAAAACATTTTACTTTATTTTATGATAAAATACATTTTAAAAATTAAAAATTTATATGTATTTTGTATTATATTGTATTAATAAACAAAATTATTAGCTTATTTTTCACTTATGTAGAATCTAACCCTATACCTCACTGTAAATATGGGTTCGTTTTACGCCGATTCGATTTGCACCGGCTTTTGTAGGAACGGAACTGCGGCATAAACCGAGGGCTACCTGTATACAATTTTTTCAAATTGCAGCCCAATAAGTATCCTCCAGTAATCAAGTGGATAAAATCACTAAACACCAGTAGTCAGTTGTGAAGAAACCCCAGAAAACTCTACATGGCCATGTCCGTTTGGGTTTTCTTCACATTAGTAACACTTAAATTGGGGCCAGCTTTACATAAAAGTCTTTCTGGGATGCATCCTTCTGGAGAGATTGTTTGAGTGTTGCGTTGCCGTAACCAAATGCCAAACCAATTTTAATACTTTTTCTATAAACGCGATATTTATGAGGACATGCTTAACTACCAGGAAACGTGGACATACCACTCCTCTCCAGATTTCATCTCCCCTTATTAACTCATAAACCTATTGCCCCAAACTTCTTTCACTGATACTGCTTAAAGATGTTCTAACGTTCAGCCAAATTAATGTATGTGGAACGATTTTAAGGCACAAAGTAGAGCTGGAAGTCTTTCTGTGCTAATGATTATTTTTCCTATTTATTATCATGGTGACATTGCTTCATTCAAAACTTTCTGAAGTTGCAGTCTGTGTAATGAGTGCTTTGTTCACATGTTAAGTCTTACCAGTTAGTGTCAAATCTGCTTCCACTATTTTTAAGCTGCAACTTAGATGTTTTTATTGAGCTATACTTTTTCAACCTGGTTTCACCAGTTTTTTAGGATTACATAAAAGCAATTATTCTTGCAATTTTTAGAGATTTTTTTTTATTTATTTAAACAAGTCTTATACGAAGTCTTTCGGACGTTAAGGTTAGCGACTTCAATCACATGCAGGGCCATCACAACCTATCCAACACAGATCACTTTTCAAATATTAATAGTAGACTAGATTAATTAGTAGTCATTGACCATCCTCTCTCCCAAGAAGAAGACAATTACTACGTTTGGTCGAATTAACTTCCAACCTCCATCTGCAACAGTCCCTTCTTCCTATCAGACCCACCGGTATGGTGGCATTTGAATAGGAAAATTATATAATATGAGGTTACTGGCCTGCACAAAGTATGATTTAAGTGGTTTTTGAGGGTGTTGAGTTTAAATATTTGGTCCATTTTTTGTCGAATTTGATTGCTTGGCAGATCATCATTTGATATTTGGCTGTGAATGAAACTGTTACTGTATTTTTTCTAACATTAGCACTATCTTTTTAAGATACAGTAATACCTGAACTTACGCGATAGGTGGGACTGAGCGGTAACCGCGTAAGTCGGGGTATAATTTCGCATATAAATACATACAAATAATTTTTAATTGGGGCTGGAAAGTAAAGAAAACAATAATTTAGAAAAAAATGTTTAATAAAATCTTAGATAATACATATGTATAACAGATTAGGCCTATATTATTTTACAATTTTTCACATTTACTTGATTATTACGCCATAATTTTAACATTGTTTCCATCTCAGCGATAATACTGTGACGTTTACGAATGATGCTTGAATTTAAAGATTGAGCATTTTTCACAGCTTCGAGAATTTTTTCTTTGCCTTTTATAATTGTTCTGACCGACAATTCCGGTAGATCAAACTTCTTTGCCAATTCACAAATTTTCATTTTTGTATCGAAGTCTTTAATAATGGGTACGTTCGTAAAGTCAAACAAGTTAAATGCGTTAGTAACGAATCGTTTGAAAAGTCTAACAAAATAGGAATAACGATGACTTCATTCTCGCTTAACTCGTTCGACTTTACGAACATACCCAATGTTAACTTTACATTCCAAAGATAAAGTTTTTCTTTTCTTGTTTGATGCAGAAGAATTAGTTCTACTTCATTTGGATGACATAGTAGAGTCTCTTGAGTCTCCGTAGATATAACAAACACAGAAATAAATAACACAAAATGAATTGTAGCTATGTGTCGATTCCGCATGATACATCCAAACATGTAAGCTGAACAATTGTGTGTGGGGAGTGAGTAATCGAGGGTTGCGTGACGCTCAAAAGACGAATCTACGAGATTTGAAAATCGCGTAAGTCGAGGTATTACTGTATTGTATTTTTTTATATAGTATAATATAATATAACATTTCATATAATATAACAAACACTAAAATGAAAACCACATAAAGAGTTTGATTATTTTAGCTTACCATTGTCACATTTATTGCCATACTTGTATGGTACGAAATTGTGCCATTTCATACCATCCAAGTGTGGTGATAAACGTGACAATGGTAAGCTAAAATAATCAAACTCTTTATATGGTTTTCATTTTAGTGTTTGTTAAATAAAATATTGATTTATATAATTAAAAGGTTATCTTACATAAGAGATTATTCACTTGCTGTGATAAATCCTTACGTAAGATAACCTTTGTATTTCTATTATATAAATCAATATTATAATACAGGGATAGGCAAGCAAAAGTTCAGTAGGAGCTGAAATGTAGGTTTTGCAAAATGCATGGGAGCCACAGTTCTGTACTTTTTTATTCTGTATCGTGATTTTATTATATAATATAAAACAAACATTGAATTTTTTTAATAAACATATTTTCACAAAATTGTAAAAATAATAATAAAAAGCAGAAATTAACACTTTCAGCAAGAACCGCATGTAACTCAAAATGAGCCGCATTTGCCCATTCTGTTATAATATAATATAAGGGTTAGAAGTATGAAATGACTAATAATCTTAATGTTTGTACTTATTGCAATGCCAGGCTTACCTGCTTGCTCATTATAAAATAATCTACTTTAAAATAAATACAATATACAAACAATATACTGTATGATAAATTAAATATAATTCTATTATAACATGTATATTTTGTTATATCTTGTTATATTATCCTTTTTTTTTTATTAATGTGCATTTTGACATCAGTTATGTCTTGGGATACATTTTGTAATAAAATTTTCAAATAGAATGTAATTTTGAAAAGTATTACTTTAAAATGTAAAAATGCTTTTCTGTAATTCTGTTTTTATATCAATAAACAAATTTTTTATTTCAGTGATAACGTCCGATCTTCCTCCGGTAGAGTTTCGGTATATTAACCATCCCGTATCCATTGAAAACTCTGAACCATTCACTTTTGGTTACCAGAGCGGGCAGCTGGCAGAAAATTTGCAGTACAACTATGAAGAGCCAAGATCTGTAGAGACAAATCCTTTAAATTTTCTGTGAGTACCAATTCTGCATCATGATATGGAATGCTTAATATTTAGATTTTAAGACAATACCGTAAAAGCTTCATATAATAGAAATTTATAATATTAAACTACATTTTTCTGGAAAGCAATTCGTAATTTTAGGTAAGTGATGATATTAACTATATTTTACAACAAGTCTTACAACAATAAATAAGTATAAATTCAGATAACTAACAAGGGGAACCCAGGAGGTTGTTGTCACTGATTTCGATGGAATTTTGTGGATGTGTAGTATTTACTCATACTTAAACTCTGCCAAAGCTGCAGGATCTGCTATTCGGGCATTCTTGAGAAAATCACAATTAAAATTTTTCTAGAACTGTTAATACCTGTGCAGAAGTGCCATTTACACATTCTATGTGGGATTCAAACCTGCATAGTAATGCTCTTTGCACAATGCCTTAATCAATCATGTCATGCCATAAATGCGTAAATACAGGCATACCTCGACTTACGTCGTTTCGAGTTACGTCGTTCCCGATTATACGTCGCTTGTTAAAAAAGTATATGGAAAAATAAAAATCAAGTTTAAGTCATTTTATTCGACTTTACGTCTGTCCGCCACAAATATTGAAGTCGTAATATCACTAGATAAATGTTTAAAGCGCATAAAATCATATTAAAATATATACAAGTATGTACTGTATTTACAGTACACGCATTCGTAAATTTAGATTACTTTTTTTTGTACTATATTAAAAACTAAAATTTATTTGTTTGTAAGCTTAAAAGATTTTTATTAACCATATATTATTAAAAATGCATTAATAAATAAAATACAGAACCGGGAATGGTAATTTACGGTTTAGCCTAGTGATAAGTAGATTCGGAGACAAGTAAATTAGACTTACGTCGTTTTCCTGGAACCAATTACCGACGTAAGGCGAGGTATACCTGTAGTGCTTCTGCATAGATATTAATAGTTCTAAAAAATTTTAGTCATGATTTTCTTGAGAATGCCCAAATAGCGGGTCCTGCGGCTTTGGTAGAGTTAAAGTACGAGTAAATACTGCAAATCCACAAAATTTTGTTGAAATGGGTGATGACAACCTCCTGGGCTCCCCTAGTAAGTGCTTAACCTTCACAGTAATAATGTATTGATTAGTTTATGTATTGTGCACATAAAATAAAGATTCTATAAATATCTCACATATATCCAAGTGTACATGCAGATGTGTGCTTAAGCCGTGGTCACACCATGCAATTTCCAGCTACACAGGCAACTGCAACTACGATGGCTGTTCTCGTTAACTAGTAAACCCCCTTTGAAAACCGGTGTGACTGCAACTGCAACTAGGAACAAAAAGTTTGTTCTACTCGCACCAATTGCAAACGTACATCCAATCAGCAAATGTCTATTTGCCACGTCATACGGTGGCAACGTTGAAAATACTGTAGTTAGAAAATAATGGCAGAAAGTAAAATGATGGCTAGTTTAACAGAATCAAGATTAATCGAGCTAATTCAGTCTCATGAATGCTTGTGGGATTTTAATTCTTTGTTTTATCAAAGAAAGGATAAAAGAGTGCAGGCATGGTGTGAGATAAGTGAAAGTCTTAGCATTTGTAAGTACCATTTTTAGATTTCTGGATATAAAATGTTATTGTTTTTAGTTTGGTAATGACAATATTGTTTTAAATATAATTAAACTCACGAAAGAAGTGTAAAACAAGATACTGTAATTTTATTGGTTTATTATAGGATCACGTGTTTCCGAGTTGCAATGCCAGTGAACAATGTGTGACCATGAGAAGACACACGTGACTCACGTTTGTTGCAGTTGCAGTTGCCTGCGTGGCTGGAAATCGCATGGTGTGACCATGGCTTTAGAATACACTTGTATTTAAGAATATCGGTGGCAATTGCGGTTTTCGGTTTATAGCCAAAACAGCTTATGAGATACATGTCTACACTCAGTGTTCACATTTTCCGGATGTGGCCACATTTTTAAAAAGTGACCAATGAAATTCTAATAATGATTAATATTGCTGCATTGTGTTCCCAATAATTACTGTTGATTTAGTTTATGAAAATGTTAAATCTGCATTTAATTCTTAAATTTTAACAATATCTTAATCAGAGACATCGACATAGAGGAGTTGGACGTGTCGAGTCCGAGCATGGACGCCTTTCCCAGCATGGATTCGTTTGGCGACCTGAGTGTCCTGGATCTGGTGAATGGCACTGAAGTCACTCCCTCTGTTACCCCCATCAAATTCCATGAATTTTCGCAGAAGAAACAATCCGTCGGTACGAGATCTTTAGATTATTTTTGTCTCATAATTTGAAAAAATGTTTTATTGCAATGCTACCTAATTTACTAATGTTTCATTTGTACTTATGTTAACATTCTTCATTATTATATACTACACTAGTGTTAAAACTTAAAGCAAAATTGTGAAACAAGAGTAGCCAAAAATTATGTCGCACATAAGTTGGCAAAATGTCAAGCAAACAAGGCATGATAGCAGTGCATCTGTGCAAATGTAATATGCTAGCTATGTATGGCAAAATCGTTTCTGACAAACAACCGTCTGCTAGGACTGCTAATGGCGAGGAAGTGTTCTTGATACATCGGTAGCTTATGGGGTGTTGCAACAGAGAGCTGATCATTTGTGTTTTTGTTGCATGCATTTGTGCCTGTTGCTTTAATTTTGGATAAAAGTGTAAATTTTAAATAGGCAGAATTAAACTTTCATATAAACAATTTATTCTTAAATGGCTACATTCTTTGCTATGAATTTCTAAATTGCTTTGCTCAACAAAAATCAAATATCTTATTTTATTATTCTGTCCTTCATAGAATTTGGTTTGTGAATGAATGCTCCATATTTTGTTGCAAATGAATCAATTTTCAGGCTTTGAATACCCGATTGCTTGAGACTTTAGCTAAATTAGTAAGCTAAATTGCTTGAAAGTCTCAAGCAAGTTTAGCTTACTAATTTAAGTAAGAGAAATCTTGAAAATTGAGAAGTTGTTATCATGTTTTCATCTTCAGACTTTCTTGAACTTTTAAAATTTGCATTATATATGGATATATTAAATTTATTTTGTTTATTGTAATGAGCTTTTTTCGGAGAATATAAAATTTGGGGAAAATGAAAGAGATATATTGTGAAACTGTTTTTTCATGTGAAGATTCAGAAATAGGAGTATCATTCATACCTTGTGCATTTAATATGATGTCTCCACCTGTACAAAAATAATTCATCTTAAGGGATGTTAATGTATGCAAATTTTTGTCTTCTTAACATCTTAGTATTCAAAATGGCTTGTGAATCTGTTAGATCCGAGGATGTGGACCCCAAATCGCCTAGAAAAAAACAAATCTCGTAAAAAGTTACGAACATAAAACAATTGAATTGTAAATTTATCGTCCCAAAAAAGTTTAAAGTAACACCACCAAGTTCAATTTGTCAAAATAATCCAAAGATTAAGGCTTAGACCCTGCTTTATCCAATAATGTATATAACTTCCAGATTTTTAGCTTCAGTTTGGCAGAAATCCAATATAACAACAAATTTGAAACATTTTTAACTTTTCTATTTTGTTTTTCTGTTGCACTTTAAACCAAGAATAATACATTTTTGTAAACAAGTCAGCAAATTGCAAGTTGTCTCGTTTTCGATATTTTTGAAAATGGCTACAAAAGAAAATGTAGTGATGTATGTAATTACTTCAAAGCAACAGCAGCTTTGATCAATTAGTTTTGGCAATTGCTGCAAGTTATCTAGTTGCATATTCAGATAGTGCCAAGCCTACTCATAGCTGAAGCGGAAATTAAACAGATATTGAATCACTCGATTTTTCAGATATTGTTTCCTCTGAAATATGGAGCCTGGACCTTCTGGGGAGACAAACATTTGTTGCATGCTGCAAAGCATTTTGCTTTTAATTGATGCATCATTTTGTTCTGTTTTTAAAGGAAGAATAGAACATTGCTGTATCATCTATCAATTAACCTGATGGTGATTTTAACTTAATATTTAAAACAGCCTAGATAATGCATAAAAATCAAGAATTTGTTTTTGTAGACATCTTTGCAAGTCAGTTTGGGTGAACTTTCATGTCAAATGCAAACTGAAATCTAGAAATTAAACAAATTTAAACTTTCAAAATATAATTTTCAGTCTTGCATTTTATTTATTACTAACAGACCCAGCCACGCATTGCTGTGGCTCAAAATGCATCTATTATAAATGTATAACACTTCCTGCAAGAGGGAATTTCGAAAAATCCTTTCTTAGTATACAGTCTCTTGACATACCCTATTAAAACACAATAAAAAATGCAAAAAACTGCATCTAGAATAGTATAATAGAAGCTGAGTTCTTCACAGTAAATCTTAATCCTGTCTCTCTCCCCCATGTAGGAGGGAATTTCAACATCTATATAATGTAAAAACACACGCATATTTGAATGCAATGTTGTGCCAAAATATGAAAGCAGTTGGTGAAGAACTTTTGGAGATTTAAGATTTTGAACAAATGAACATTACATTTTTATTTGTATATATATTCTAATGGCTTTGAAAAATAAAATATCAAGTAATTATGCATAAATTTCTCTTTTTTTTTTTAGACTGCAAATTTGATGGGAGTATTTTACAAGCAATAAAAGATGGAGGCTACAATGGACTGATACCCATCACTTCTCCTCTAGTGGCAAAACTGTCGACTCCTCCCATTTTGAGGAAGGGAAAGAGACGTTTTGTATCCTTTTTGGTCATTTTGATGTTTTAAGCTCTTGCTTGTTTCTTTGTTAGTTTCCAAACAACAATTTAGGAAAGATGTCTGTGTCAATTTTATAATTGAAAACGCTCTAAATAAAAGTACACATGACCATCTATAGGAAGATAAAACTCATAACAGATTGATAATGCACAATAGAGAGGATAAAAGGTCTGTAATGAGTCTAAAAGTTATTTTCATAAAAGTTCAATGTGCAGGCTTTGTTAAAATGTGATAGGGCACTTTTGTCTAAACTAAATTGGAATATGATAATTTTATTGTAGTTGGTAGGAACTTTGATAACTTATTTCCAAAGACTTTGTATAATCTTTCCAAAATGTTTTTGCTTAACTCAAGAAAAAGACTGTGCCGGTCAGATTAATGGAAAATCAAAATCTGGACATCCTACAAAGTATGGATCAACCCCTTGAGACCATGGACCCAAAAGTGGAACCACAGCCCGATTTTGAGGTTGTGTCCCAAATCAAGATGGAGTCGGCTGACCAGGAAGAGTCTGTGCTTCCTGGCATTGAGATATTCTACAATTCTGCCGATCGCTTTCCGCCGGACGGAGATGTGGCAGCCTGCACGGAAGATCTGGGTTTGACAGAAGAGATCCCATTACCCCAGTTGGATGAGGCAGACCTGGACTCCGAGACATTCTCCGTCACTCCAGCGAAACGATCACCTGTTAAACAGTTGCCCTTTTCACCATCGCAGGTAATTAAAAACATGTGCCGATACTCCAGTGTAAGTAAATGCCTCACTGAGAAGTAACTCCGGTTTGGTTTTCTTCATAGTTTCTAAATAGCCCGAACATTGGCTTCTCTGCCATCAGTCTGACATCCACACCAGTGTGCAAAAAGCTAACATGGGAACTGACCTCCTGCCTTGACATGCATTCTCCCATCTGTAACAGGTAAGTTAAAATACAGTACAAGATTAAATTTTCTACTACAGTCATTATGTTTACCTTGTAAATACATATACTCTCTATCGCCCTTTTATAGTTTATGGCCAATTTAGTAATTTTACAAAATGAAATGCCAAAAACATGAGTAAGTCCATTTTGAAAAGAGATTATACAAGGGGATCCGATATTTTAATATTGGATCCTCTTGTATAATCTTAAAGGCCAAAATTACACTACCTTTTAATATTTATAATTAAAGAAAATATTTAATACATTCCACAAAAACTACATACTTTTGTTTATTTCTTGACATAATGGCCATAAATGTTGAGACATTTATCCCAGCATGACACTAGTTTGAACATCCCTTCACAGTACTATTGCTTGAAGTAGTCCAGAACGGTGTCTTCAAATTCCTCCTGATCTGCAAAGCACTTCCCTGCCAAAAATTTCTTTAAAGGTCTGAATAGATGAAAATCTGAGGGGGCTAAATCTCAACTATACTCCACACGTCAAATCAAGCCAAACTGTGATCGGTACAACGGGATTGGGAGGTCCTTAAACATCTTCCGTATAGTCCAAATTTAGCCCCTCATTGGATTTTCATTTATTTGGACCTTTAAAAAAATTTTTGGCAAGGAAACACATTGCGGATCAGAAGGAATTGGAAGACGCCATTCTGGATTACTTCAAGGAACTTGACAAGCAACAGTACTGTGAAGGGATGTTCAAACTAGTGTCATGCTGGGATAAATGTCTCAACATTTATAGTGATTATGTCAAGAAATAAACAAAACTATGTAGTTTTTGTGGAATGTATTAAATATTTTCTTTAATTATAAATCTTAGTGTAATTTTGGCCTTTACCTTTAATATCGGACTCCCCTCATACATTATCTTTAGGTTGGGTTTATGCAATGCATTTATATCATTTGACACACTATGTGGCAAAGAATTAAAATAATTTTTTTTTCCTACATGGTTGTCCATGCTTTAATTAAGACACTATTGACTGTGCCATTGCAGTTTTGGTCCAGTAGTGCTCATAGAGTTTAAAAATAAACAGATCAATGTTTATTGGAAGGTGATGGTTTAAATGAAGCCAAATACTTAGTTCTTAAACACTGCTTGTTCAGATGATGCCAAGATCAAATGCTTATGATTTCACATCAACATTTTATACACATGAAGATAAATAATTTTTTTCTGTTTAAAAAGTAAACACATGGAATATTGCCTAGAGAAACATATTTTTCCATTACAAAAGGTCTAAATGTTCTGCAAATCTACATTTGTGTAGTCATTCCATTACTTTTAGAAATATTCAAGTTAATGAAGAGGCATAAAAATGAGCTACAGACATACAGCTGTCTGTTTTCTTTTTGGACAAAGAAAGATGTACAACATATGTTACTCTGAATTACATCTAAAATAATTGACACACTTGTTGAATAGAAATGAATTGTGGGAGTAAAGAATAGGAGAAGAGAAACAAGAAATGATAACAGCATTTTTGGTCAATATATAAGATATAAATCATAAAATATGACTTACTATTATGTTATTGGAGTTTCAGATACGACATCTAATATTTATGGAAAAATTAAAAATATCGTTGATACTTATGACTAATAAATTTTTTCAAATTTCAGTTCGGTGCAGACTCCTCTCTTCCATAATTCTTTACTGGACACAGATCCGAGGACGCCGACTCCTTTGAAAGATGGACCATGCTGTGAAAAGAAAGAAAAGGAGAAAAATAGTTGTGCCAAAACTTTGGTATGTTAACTTTTTTGCCAAATATAAAATTAAAATGACTATTTTAACGGGCTGTCATCTTTCTAGGTAAAGGAAACTTCATCGACGGTCAAACAGGTAAATAATTTGTAATTTAGTGAATTTTTATTATTGATATACTTATTTTTCTGGATAAATATAACTGGCGTTGAAATTCCTTGTAGACAAGCTTTCAGACTAATAACGAAAGTTCAATTGGTGCAGTACCACAGATGGAAGTGAGAATCCTACAGGAAAGTTCACAGTTTTCACTTAATTCTCCTCTGGTCCTTGATAATGGAAATGGCGGGAAGAGAAAAGACAACAAAGAGGTTTGCTGCCAAAATATTTTGCAACGGAATTAGAGAGGAAATTCAATTGCATGTTTTAACTAAATCTCTGAACATTTTAATTTCTAGAATGTTTCGCCTGTAAAGAAAGTACGAAAGAGTCTCTATCAGTCTTGGTCGATTCCAGGAGACATAAATGTCCCGGGTTTGGGCACTTCCTTATATCTTCAGTCTTGTGAGCTGCTGATGAATCCAGAGACTCCAGTAAGTTTTGTATCAGATTAATAATATGGTAATAATTATTATACATACAAAATTGAAACACTTAGTAACTTTAAAAAAATTACAATAACTGAATATGTGTTTAAATTTAACAATCTACACTAAAATTAAGGTTGGAACAGAATATTGCTGATAAAACAATATACAGTGTATATTCCTATAATTTTTATATAATTTTTCGTCTTTAACAACTAGTGGGTGGGTGGCACAACATAGCCTGTAAATTCCTTTAAAATATTAAAACAGAACCAAGTGGTAACCAAATTAGATGCACTGCCATTATTAAGTAGTTAAATATTTAACTCAAGATGTGCTGTAAATACTTTCTTCCTTCTAAGTTTTTGATTATGGATATTGAGTAGCCGTAGCACCTTGTGACAGTGACTAGGTTAGCATCTTGTGACAGTGACTAGGTGAAGTAGAAATAATAAGCCTTCCATGGGTTTTAATTTATTTTTATCTAAAAGTTAGCCAGTAATGATTACTGTTCCAGTTTAGTTCTTACTTTTACTGTTTAAGTGAAATATAAAATTGACTATTTGTCAATGTTTTCTTTGTTACCTTGATGAATGGAATAAGGCTGATGGGAGGTCAATAGCTGCTACCTTGATTTCTAGGCATAAAGACTTTTTGGCAAAACTTGTTACAGGAGATGAAAACTGTATCATATATGAAAATATTGTTTGAAAAAGACGATGGATCAACAAGTATCATCTACAGTGGTACCTCAGGTTACGAACGCCCCAGCATACGAAATTTTCAGGATACGACATGAAATTCGAACATATTTTTGCTCCACGATACGAACAAAAACTCACCATACGACGTTACATTAGTTCGCATTTTTCATTTGTTTTTCTTACTACAGTTATTTTTTTAAATGTATTACTTGGCTTTAATTTGAGTATGTTTTTCGCGTTGGAACGAATTATTTGGTTTTACATGTAATCGTATGGGAAAAGATGATCCACCTTACGAAAGTTTCATGATACGATCTCAGTTTCGGAACGGATTAATTTCGTATCCTGAGGTACCACTGTACTTCAAGTGGACCCCAAGCCCGGTGTGCATGGAAGAAAAATTTTGTTATGTGCATGATTGGATTGTCAAGTACCACAGCTCTGATAAAACTTGAAGGAAAGCATCCTGCACTTGTTAACAGATAGAAGTCCCACATATCAGAGGTTTCTCAAGAAAAAATTTTTGAGTTTGACTGATCTGTTTTGTCTCATCTGCCAGAGTGGGCACTGGAGAATGCTTTAAATGGGCAACACTTCTAAAGTGATGGCCAGATTTGGAATTTTGTTAAATTGGGAATTTTTTCATTCAAACCACTAGATTTTTATGCAAGGGGAATTGACAAGTTGCCTGAAAAATGGCAATAAAACGTAGAGTACAACACTATATAAAGTCTATTCTCATACTGTACATTTTATTTGGCAAATAAGTTTTATTTTAGAAAACTTACTCATGACTCAACACTTACCTGCTATCATTACTGTCCAAAAGAAAATTCAATCCCACTGCAGAAAATGCTGAACCAAATGTTCAATCTTTGACTAAAATGAAGAAATCGGGAGGAAATAAACTTATTGATATTGTCTCTCTCATCTTTTTCTAAAGGTCTTGACAAATTAGTCTTTGACATAATGTTTGGTGTGGACATACTGCCGACGTTTTGAACCACACAAATATGTCGTGATGATCTTGGTAATCAGTTTTTCTTAGTGGTGTTGAATGCTCTCAGTTGAGCCTTGAGCCAGTGAAATAATCAATTAATCAAAGGCAAGATCTGAAAGAAAACTCCTTAAAGTATATCACTTGTAAAATCGGAAAGGATCAAGATAATCCATTTGGCTTGCTTACATTTCATCAAAATATGTGTTTTATTCAAGAGATTTTTTACGTTTTTCATAGAGGTCTCTCAATTCACATACAAGTTCGTTTTAATTTGTGGAAAGTAAGAAATTTACATACATGTTTCTAAACTCGTCAGTTGAAGGATAAAAAAGGAAATAAACTTTGAAAATATTTTTAAGCAAAGTTTTGCACATTGACTGCCTTTTCAAAAGACAGAACTTGGTTCCACAACTGCTGATGTACTTGTAAGACTTCTTGAAGTGAAGAGAAAAGTACATTTATTCAGACGAATTTTTAATTTTTGTACAAGTTGTCAACCTTTTGAGATGAAAAGTAGGAGAAGAATTGGAGGTACTGAGGATGCAGTCAAATTGCTTATAAAATGTCTGATTTGGAGTGGACTTGGAATTTTGATATTTTAGTGAATTTGAAAAATTCGGCAGAAGACTCGAAAAGTAAACATTAGCTGAATTCATTTGAAGATGCAAATGGTATCTAGATTACTAGTAGCTCGGGACGCTCCCTAGTGGGCGTTCTTTACAAATTTCCATGAGGTGCGGTTCCTTTGACTTCTTTGTTCTTATCAATATGCTCTACAGCTCTGTTAAAGCCCGAATGGTAAGATTTACCCTCCAAATGAAGAGGTGGCGACCCCCAAACCGTAGACCCCTGCACTAACAATAAAGTCAAAGGAACCATACCCCTACTCGCGACCCTTCGAGAGATATAAGCCCCTGAAATAACAAATTCCTATTGCAAATATACTGAATTATTTATAGTAGAGAGGTTGAGGCAGACGTTTTAAACGTGTAAATGTGTAGGATGGACGTTCGGTGCCGCTTTCCCGTAAGCCTAGAAGTTTGATGATGGTGTTTGGAATGTCGAGCGTGATTCCACCGACTATCCAAACACCATTGTCAAACTTTTAGGCTTACGGGAAAGCGGCGCCGAACGTCCGACCTATACGTTTACACGTTTAAAACGTCTGCCTCAACCTCTCTATTGTTATATTGACCAAATAATTTATTGGCCAACTGAATAATAAAAATTTATATTGTTAATTTGAATGTTTGAAATATGACACACGATAGGGACGCCTCTAGTGTGTTATCAAACGGTTACGGGACAGACACCCGTTGAATGGGTTATATATATAGATTATTAGACAATGTTTAAATAGAAGAAAGCTACCGATATATTGTAAATAGGCATAATTTTGGAACGGCAGCTTCTATAATAAATATTTAAAAAAATGGATCGATAGGCATATCTAGGCTAGGGGTCCCCAAACTTTTTTATTTTCTAATAAACAGTAGTTAATACTGGTCACCAGATTAGTTAATAATTTTTGATCGCGGTTCTGATCAACTTGGTGAGAAAATTTACATCATCCAAACTGTCTTAATTAAGGATTGTTAACGAACCCTTTTCAATAGACTCCTACTAATTTTTGACTCCCAATCTATACAAAAGCTTCAATATAATATACGAAATAGCAAATTAAAAAACGTATAATGTAAATTGTTTATATACAGAATTTCATATTTGCCTTGGAATCTCTCCGTTTTTTGCCTATTACGTACTTTGCAAGGTGACAATTTACAATAAACAACTAAAAAACATTTGAGTTTAGGAGTAAAGTATTTAACTGTCAAGTATTCTGAAATGTTCGATTAAGGTATCAATGATTTACATTAGATTTACCGAAAATGTCACGAGGAGCACTGACAAATAATATGCCCTTCTTTGGTGTTTAATGAGTTCGAGTGAAGTATTTATTATACAAATGCCACTCGTTAAATAGTTGTTAATCTTCAACGACGAAACTTGTTAGCATATTGGAGTATTTATTCCTAAAATCTTGGACTTCACTCTTGTGTGCTTCTGGAGCTATCGTCGACGTATTCCAGGCTGTTTGTGGATTAAATAGCGAAGAAAACATAAAAATAAATTAGCCATTTGCGAGGACGAATGAATAATTGCATACAGTGTACGTATTTGCGACTTCGATAGATTTCAGTTGGTTGCTCTTTGACAACACTAGAGAGGAGAATCAGACGTGGTTAGCGGCACGAGAAGATTCTTTATCAATCGTGGCAACGTCGAATATAAATTTTGATTCGTTTTCCTATAGAATTAATGTACGTAATGCATATATTCGTATGGAGTGCCAACTGTTATTGTTATTTCATTGTATTATATGACGTATAACATCTTCATCACCTAATAACCTAGATTTTTTACGATAATTAATTAAAAAGAATCGGACAACGAGTTGCATAACTTTCCCGGCTATTATGAGATGTTGTTTAAAAAAATCACGTTTATATTATTAAATCTTAATAAATAAAATTGTATATGGCACCATCTGTTACGAGATGACAGTATGAAAAATTTTATAAAATGACAAAACGCTTAATTTTGAGAGTAGGGACGCGTTTCATTAAAAAAATTGTAAATGCTAAAACGAGCAAAATCTGCGCATTAAATCCGACCTCTCTCGTGATTCTCCTATCTCCCTCGACTTTTAATCACCAAAATTTAATGGTATCAATGCCCCCTCATAGACAAGCTGCCGTGCCAAATTTCGTTTCTTAATCTTTATCCCATCCTGAGATATTAAACGAAATAGACGCCAACATACGCGCCGAATTTTATTTTACCGTTTTGGGTTCACAGGTCTCAAAACGTGGAGATTTGAGATTTGCAAAAAAAAAAAAAAAAAGAGGAGGTTCAAATTTGACACGATTCCGATACTTTCCCGTGTTATTTACACGGGAAGCCAAAAAGTAAAAGGCCAATCATCCTGAAATGGCCAACACGCATTGTTAAAGTACCGCTTTATCTTTACAGAGCAAATCGTTGTTTAAAGACGAGTCGGTACTGTTCTCTCCTCCATCCATCATAAGAGAGACTCTACCCGAAGAAGTGTTGCCCGCACTTAACGAAGCCTTCATAGACAGGACCGTCTCCAAACCAAAGGTGAATACAAAAATTTCCTCCGAAATACCGAAACACTAGTTTTGGCCAATGTTCCCTCTAATTTTTTTTTGTGGATGAGCGGAACACACACTTCTTTGAGCAAAAAAAGTTTTTGCTGAGCAGATTCTGAGCAAAAAATTTTTCTGATCATATATATATAAAATCTTATTTTTTCTATAAAAATTAAAATAAATAATTATAAAGTAGAGATTAAAATTAATTTTAAAACATACTTTTATACAAAATATTATCTCTTGTCAATGATTTAATGTATTTAATCGAAATATACGTAGCAATGATCATGTTGCAGACAGAGTGAGAAATAAGTAAACAACAATTCAAATTGGTGTGCATGCTCGCCTGCGCGGCACATAAATTCTCGTGCGCGGCAACAATTTGAGCAGTGCGCGGCCGCGCAGCTTAGAGGGAACATTGGTTTTGGCCACCCTTACAGCAAACACTAAAACGTTATTTTTCTAAGTACAGTGTGTCCTGTTCTTACTAACATTCGAAATAAACGAAAGAATATAAATTAAAATAATATTACCTTTTAAATTCAGGTCCACTTTCAGAATAAGCGCGTGGCTCAGAGAATTCAGTTCGAAGATCATCCCTGCAAGAAATCGGTTTTAAAAGTGAGTTTTTTAAAAATTAATTCCGTTGATTTAAAATGGCGACCTATTTTTAAATTATATTATTATTTTAGATAGAGAGATGGCAAACGGTGGCAGTCGGACGCACGGAAGACCAGTTGGAACTGACAGAACAGGCCAGACAATTGATGAGCTCCCTCCGCACCAGATCTTTAAGTTTATAACCGGAACAAAAAAAGATGCAATTTGTATTTTTTTTTTCTTATACTTTTTTGTCCGATTTAGAAACGAATCATGTTAAGAAATCTTTATTTTTCTTATAATTATTTTAAGGGTTCATTTCAGAGAATATCGTGTAGTGTAGAAAAATTATTTTACTAATAATTTTAAATTATAAACGCCCGATTAGGATTGCGAGTGCGATGACAGTGACGAAAATTCACGAAAGTCAATGTCACAAAAAAAAATCATGATAATTGTTTCTTCGGATTTCTGAAAAAAATTGTGGCATTATAACAGGCGAAAAATTATTTTGTAACATATTTTTTTGTAAAATACTTTATTTATAAAATTCACTCTTGTGTCTTTTCGCCGAAAAACACCGGAGTATAAATTTTGAAGAAAAATTATATGAAAATGATTATTTTATTAGATTAAAAAGTTTATATTTAAAAAAATAATAATGTACCTTTTGTCTGGTTTCTCAAAGCCGTTCTGTAGTTCTTGCGAATCAATTGTACACACGACAAGCAAAATACTTTTTAAAATATGATAGAAATTGCGGATTTTCCTGGTCAAATTCTAGCGTTAAGGCAAGACTGCAGAACGGAAGCGAAATTTTTCGAAGCTCCCTCGTTTTAGCGTAGCTACAGGTCGTACCTGACTCGGAAGGTATATTAAACGGGTTTATCGCAGCAGCACGACTGTGAAGTTCTGTTCCTGAACTTAATTTCCTTTTGTTTATTTGTTCGTTGGTTCATTGTGTTTAATGCCACATTGACAATAATATGATGCACTAACCGATGAGTGTGTGATAAGAATGTGTAAAGTAGATTGTATGATATAAAAAAAAGCTAAAATGTACATAATGATGACGAACAATGGTATTTACGGGGATGTTTTCCTCGTTTTTTAATCGAATTGTCTAACCTGCGTGTCGTTTTGTGTGTGATAATTTGCTGAAGTATAATAATTTGTATCTTATACCCATGCAGGATAAACATTGCTTGGTAAGATGTTTTGCACCCAATAATCGTACGATTTTACTAATTTGTCGGCTGCATTTTTATCATGTGTACCAGATGTGGATATCATTAAAACAATACTTTTTTAATTGGAAGTGTTAACTTTGTAATTTTAGCAGTGCAGGATAGTATTGAACCACCCACCGAGATACGTCAAAGACATCAATTCTGTATTCGATTTGTGAAAATCCTCACAACTAAGTATTAATCTACAGATGCGATGCTTACGTTTATCTCGTGGAGATTAAATTCGCTCATTCGAATCGAAACGTATTCCTTATATCGACGTATGACTACATTACTACTAACGATCACGATCCATATAAATAATAACGTTATTTTATACAATAGTTCGGGCTCGATATATTCATAGAATTCAGAAAAAACACGGAACGTAGTGTAAACCATTTTATAAAGTACGCGTTAAGAATAGTTTAAAATCTGAACACTACGTGGTATACGAAGCGTTATCGAAATTAAGGAGAGGAAAGTCGAACAAAAGATGGATGAGATTACAACACAAGATCCTCGTTTACAGACAATACTCCAGACTTCCAAATTCGATCCCGTTCCTCTACGATGGAAGGCCCTCGAAGTTGCGCAAAACTGCGGAATCAGCAGCCGATCGCCACGCCAAGTTATTAAATCGCAAGCATTTTCTTGGCAATTTTCTTGGCGATTCACGACAAACGGAGATACAGTAGAGAAATGGCGAAGAATTTCGATCCGTTCGGCTTCCGAAACATCTCCCGATTCTACGGGAACGGATTATTAGAGAAGTGTGTGTACTGTATTGTGGACAGAAAGAGAGAGAGAAAATAGGAAACTTGAAAGTAGAAGCGACCGGAAGAGGAAACCATCCGAAATGGGACGGATAAAGAGAAGGGCTCGAGCCGAAAATGTGACCAGATACCTAAAACTTCCGCGGTGGTCGGTGAAAGCGAAAGATGACGATTTGGTCACTGACAGTCGTCCGGTAGGGGAAAACCAAATTCGTTCGGCCGGATTCCCATTCGTAATTCGAGACGCGCGACCATCTCGTTAAGTACGAAACCGCGCGGAAGTCGAACCTTCGGATGGAACACACTCGCCAGACGTTCTGTACAATACAAAGGAATATCAGAGAGCCACAAAAGGCAGTGGTTTTACACTTGGCGGACGGACTAGGGCTACCAGCGGAAAACTAGAAAAGGGGGAACGCATTAGATTTCTTATGGTTTCATTTCCGAAAAAAGACGGGGGATGCGTCGACCCAACGTGACCTCTATTCACGCGGAACTCTGAAAAGTTCGACTTTTGATTAAGTTCTTCCCCACCCTAACGAAATTTTCTTAGGCGCGGATCGATAAGACGTAGGTAAAGGCGTTCCTAAATAACACCTGTTGACTCACCGATTAGTTAATTAAAAAGCCTTTTGTCGAGTGTCTGCTTTAACGGCTCGTTACCAAATTTACATCCACGTAACACGGCTTTTCCGGAATGTGATCTAATCGGACTCCACTTCCGTTCCGGAGTCGTACTTCGACCTCCGACACGAAAAGGCGATAAGCGAATTCGTCTTCCGGGTGAATGTTATTACGAATCGTTCGTATTTGGGTTAACGGGTTAATCTATTTATTCGTCTTCAGCCGCCCGACACGTAACTAGAAATTACGTATATGCGCCACTTAAATACATCGCCCATAAATGGGCAATAACAGACATTCGCTACTCTGTACAACGTTAGGTTTTCCAGTCCCCTAACTACGTAACTTGCAAAACTTAGCATTTCTCAGTTCGTTTCATACATTTCTATGAAAAAAAGCAATATTTCGGGTAGAAGAAAGTTATTAAATATATAAAATATGGTAACGAAACGGTCGAAAGTGAATATTCACAAAACGAAGTTTCTAACGGAATCTCAAAAATATTTGTTAGAATTTATTCATTTCATAGAAATTCTGTGTAAGACGTTCGGATGGACTTGGAGTTAAGGTCTGCAGTTATCGGATTATCAAGATTGAAGAGGGATAGTTACAGAATAATAGCTCGTACGTTAATATATTTTACCCCACAAATAATGAAATATTGAAACATATACAAGTGTTTCGAAGGAAAAGAATAACGAAAGCGAGAAAATTTTTCTTTGTATATTTGTGATATAAAAAAGAAATACTTATTTCGTTATTCTTTCGTTTGACGAATCCAAGAATAATACCAATCGCTATTTCTTATCACGCGGTCAAAAGGTGCATTTCTATTATATTAATTAAATAAATGAAGAAAAGTTCAAAATGGCTTCGATAATATATCCTTTTTTATCTTAAAAACCTATAATTAAAAAATCCAGCAACGAGTTACCTAACTTTCCCGTCAAATGTTACATTTAAAGCTGAGTATGGCGCCATCTGTTACGATATTTTATTTTTCAACTCGAACACCAACTATATATAGTGTATTCACTCGGACACAAGGCAAATCTCATCATTAATTTTTATTTAGTTTTTAAACACTTTTTATATAATTAAGCTTTTTGCCACTTTATAATAATTATCTCCCCAACTCCTTGACCTTTAACTACTAAAATTTAATCCCCCCCTAATACGCAAACGTTCCTGCAAAATTTCAGAAATTTTCCACAAAAATCACAAGATTTGTTAAGCTTTAAATTGGGTGAACAAAATCGCGCCCCCACACATACAGGAAACACCCTTTTTTTGTGCATTTCTGGACGTTTCAACGTCTATCCGAGTTCAAGTACAGAAACATTTTGTATAAATTTCGAATTTATTTTCATTATTTGAACATAATTGGTGTGTACCATTATTATTATAAGATCGGGCATCATCGATATGCGCGTGACAGGCAGCGCTCGTTCTTTCAATTTCGTAAGTTACAGGAGGGAATTTTAATTTTTTGACTAAACACGCGATTTATATTGTTTAAATTGTATACAAACAATACTTTCAATTATATGAAATATTAAAATGGATATTTTCTTTTAGTTTTTAAATCGATGTCAGATTTTTCCTTCTATAGTTTTTTTTTATTTGTTTATTACTGTAAACGTGTATATATTAATAAACTGCGGTGATGTTTATTAATTACTATTTTAAATAAATTTACATATTTTGTACGCTTATTTTTCTTCGTCCGAATAAATTAAATCATAAATAATAGAAGAATATATGGCAAGTCCTATTCAGTAATGACATTGTTGTCCTATTTCGCGTGACTCAAATTTGAAACTAGAGGACAATCTGTAAGTTTAATAATTGCCGTGCGAGTTTCTGTAACAAGATTAAGTTCGACCGATTAAAATTAAAAACATCGAATGCAAAATATGAAATTAATCCTCTCAAAAACCGTCAGAAACAACAGAAGACGAGAGAATGGTCTTTAAAATGGCGATCGAATCGTCTCGAGAATTAAAACAAAATTTTACTCTACAATATGAGGGGAAAATGTGGGAGAATATAAGGAAAAAAAAGAGCTATTTTCCCTAGATTTAGCGACCCGACCTGGCAAGATATTGGAATGGATGATGGCCGTTGGGTCGCAACAGTAACTAGGAGTTCTGCCACGTTTGATTAAAAAAAAGTGGAATTTCAATTAAAATCTGATCGACAGACAGCATAAATTGATAGCTTATACACGGATGTATTACGAGAACTATTTTTACTGGGTGTACAGCGAGTCCTCGCTTAACGACGTCGTATAACGAAACCAATTTTACCAAAGGCTAATTGATATAACAAGGTATAATTCGGTTATTGTTATTCTAATTGGATGGTGTTTGCCATCTCCGGCATTTATTTCCACCCCGCAGAATCCAGTTTACAATCTACAATAAAAATTTGACAACGATAATCGTAAATGATTACAAATGTACTGTACTTGTATACTTATTTCCTCAACGATGTTGAGTGAATACTTGACGGTAAGTTATTTTCGTTCTTATATGTAAATAACTTCAACAAAAGAATTAAAGGGTATCAAAATGTAAGATGATATCTATTATCGTTAATCGATGGGTTTTCGGTGTTTATGTAAACAAATTCTCGAAAATTATTATTATATTTCAAATTAATTTACATAAAAACAATGTTAAGTATGACTCGTATACGGTATAGAGTAAAATACTGTATAACTAAACGAGATAATGTAGAGAGAGAATAGAAGAGTTCAGTTTCCACACACTACCAGATATTCCTTTACTATAATTTACTAAAAATTTCAAAATTACTACAAAATTAATGCATTTTTCAAATTAAATAAAGAAAAAAAACCAGTAATTACGAATTTAACATTAAAAAAATTTTACAAAAGGAATAGATTAAATATCATAGATCTGTTATAGTTTTATCATTAGGAGAAGACCTGCGTTTAATGTTAGAACTACTGTAGTACAAATGTACTTAATCTAGAACAGCCCTACTCCAGAAGACGGTCACAATTTTAATTAATAAAATTTAGAGAATCTCAAAAAGCTACTACTCATTTATAAAGAAAGCGAAGCAGAAATTAGAATCGAGATTCAATCTCAGAGTCGGTGTTGTCACGTCAATTATATTTCTATCTGAATTGCTGTTTTCTAACTAACATTAGTAACCTCAAATTCATTATTTAGAATCTATTTTTTAATAAAATTTATGGAAAACGGCATTTTCAACAATTTATGTGGTTAGGAAAGTCAAAACAGAGATGATTATATTAAACGAATCTGTTATTATGGTTTAAGTTTTAGTAGTGGCTTTAGTAAATAAATCTACGAATGCGACTGAATGCATTCAATTTTATTTATTATTAATTTAATAACAATTATATTTATATACTAAATTTGTATATTCTAAACCACTTTTTTTTGTTCGAGCTGACAATTTCTGAGGATTACTTTCAGATTTTCGTCGCGCAAAAAATTCATATGGAGAGAGAAAGAACATGACAGTGTATATAAGTTATATTATAAGTCAATGGCCGTTTTTATGTTGTAAGATCTTTCTATGTAAGTTTATATAATATAAAGCCCTGACATTGTATCTATAAGATTCTAGTTACCCGGAACAACACTCAACGGAGACAAAGATACATTTGTGAATGTTTGAAGCTCTAAAATACTCCAGACCCTAGACAGAAGCCTAGTTTGCCTACGACTATTGTAAGTCTATAAGAAAATAACAATTACTTTTTACGTATGATTTGTGTAGATTCACGAGGACAACTGTAGGGGAGATCGGGGCAAGATCGGCATGTTAAGCTTTACTTAAATTTTGTGTAATAAATACTGCTGTAAACTGAAAAATAAGCTTTGCATATTGTCTATTGGAATGTTACCTTACTATAGAACTGGTTAAAATCAGTTTGGAAATAAAAATAATTAAAATAATTACAACTTTACAAGAAGAGAGAAATTGACGAAGTTGCCCCGGGTATAGGGGCAAGATCGGCAATTTCTCTCTTTTTGTAAAGTTGTAATTATTTTAATTATTTTTATTAAAGTTGCCCCTGGTATAGGGACAACAGTAATGGGGCAAGATAGGCACGTATATAAAATTATGTTATTAACAATGTATAAGTTGGAATTCACTATTAAAACAAAGAAATACAAATCCAACACCCATTTAATATTATTATAACGAAATGCAAGTTCAAAGACATATATACATGAATAACAAATGCAAACATGTTTTCATTTATCATCTGTTTGATTTTTATCCTTTGCTTCTAATATGGCTTTATGTTGCCGATCTTACCCCGCTAGTCATGATTTCGAAACATTAAGTACAACCCTGAGAACAGAATGCCAAGCCATGATCTGGCCACGTGAATAAGTTGAAGTTACATCCTTCTAACAGAAAAAGTAACTTTCGTTATCATGGAATTATAACAAAACCTGCCAATTCAATATAAATGGAAAAAAAATATTATATGGAATTCAACGAAAATGAAAATTTGCTTGATAATTCAACTACGCTTGTTGGAGAACAATAAAAACACTACACTCAACAAGCCACTAATAAAACTCAACTGCCTAACCTATAACCAAAGTCTCCTTTTAATTTGTTTTTTAAAAAAAGCGCTTGACAAACTTGCCCCGCTTGCCGAAGTTGCCCCGATCTCCCCTATACTATATTATATAACTATAGGATGGCTGAGAGAGGCAGTATCTTCACTGAAACGTGTGTCAATAAAGGTTTGTATGGATATAAGAAAAAGTGGAAACATGAAATTCAATTATTTATCTTTTATCCTCATATAAGCTATGTCTTATCTTTCTATTGTAACTATTGATAATTATTCGAATTAAGCGATGGATACTAAAACAAAATATATTTTATTAAAGTTAGTATCTTTACATTTGGCATATATGAAAATATATAACCAGATTTAGATATATTTTTATTCTTTTAAGGATTTGCATAATGCGTTATAAGTTCGCGGACTTTTAAAATTATACTAACAAGTAAGACTGTAATATTTGCAAATTTATACAAAATATGAAGCAAGTATCGTTATGCATCTAGAATATAAAACTTTAAAATGACCCTTTAGAAACATTAAACGAAGACCAAGAACAAGTATCAGAAATAATAATAGAATTGACGATTAAACAGGGGAAATAACCACAAATTAAAAGTAAATGTTTACGAAACGGAACGACGAAATCTTTCGGTGTTATCGCAATTATTATTATTATTATTATTTTAAATTACATTCGTAACGATTCTCGGTAAGTTTACAATTCTTCGATATTATAGAAGAAAATAGAAGTCACATAAAGGTGAAATAATCAAATATCTGATCGTAAATCTTCCGTTCTGACATTTACTACCGTCTCGAATGCTATAGTAGGGGTAATGTCACGTGATAAACCCGTTTCGTGATGTCATAGGACTATGTTGTGTGATTGCCTAATTGAGTCAAACCCGTTGTGTGACTGCATGCATCACGTGTACAAACACTTTCCCTTCTGACCATATACAAACACGCTCAGGTAAGACTGTATTCGGGGGGAAAACGCGATTAATATACTGTAACTGGCATAGGTATATATTAGGTGACTTAAGAAAGAAGAAATTTAAAAAATGTAAATGTTTGTACCTGTAAAAATCTTAATATTCTAAGTCGCAGCTAAGGCGCAAGATTTGATATCATTAGCGTAGTGTTTACTCATGATGATCATTTGGGCAGATATAACATAGGAAGCTAGTGAAGTCATGCGATTATAACGGTTAACAAAAGTGATTTTTGAACTACAGGAAGCCGAATCACATGCTATAGTATAAAGCACACGAACACTGAATTAACGCGAAAATGAATGATGCGCTACATACACTCAGAGCTGATATAGCGTATTGTATTGATACGGGGATGTAACAATTATTTTTATACATTCAATATAATTAATACAACAAGCGAATATTAATTCTTTAGCTAGACAATTCTATAACACAAAATCGAATTTTTACTCTGTAATGCATTGAAGATTCACGAAAAGTCGGAGTGATAATGTAGCATTCAGCATGAAAGTATAATTAGGATTAATGTATGTACACGTTAATTATAAAGTTAATTTTAACGAAATCTGATACTTTATTACATAATTTAAGTATAGAAACTTAATACCATTCCAATGAATTATATGAAGTTAAACTCTGCTGTTTGCACGTAGCAGAGTTTAACTTCATATAATTCATCAGGCAATTAAACAGCATAAAATAATTTTATATCCACGTAAAATTGGCATTAAAATAGTGAAGCTATTAACGGATGAACGTTAAGTTTTTCTATCTTAAAACTCGACGAAGCAAAAGATAAATGTAAAATAAACGGCATCAATCAGAGCAGGAAATAAGATTTGTTTTTAAATCTTTACATCTACTCTTTTATGTTTTGTAATATAAAATCGTGTTATTTCGGTCTGCAGTTGTTCTCGAGCAGAAGCTGTGACTCGTTTCGATAGAAACAATATTGCCCAGCACCTGTTTGATTGGGGAATCAGAGCAGATAAGGAGTAATATTTTTTTCGTGACCGAACTCTATAACTGATGAATTCTTCTCCCTGTTCCTACCTCCATTCATAAGCAGATTTCGAAAGTATAACGTATGTATTTATATGTATAAACTGTTCACGCTATAAAAGTTATAAGAGGCTTTAAACATAGTTTATCGTTATTTTCAGATGAATAAAATCAGCAATGGAGAACGTTCCACAGGTAAGTTCACCCACATTAATTAAATTCATTCCAGATATGTCATTTTACTTGGCAAAAAATGCGAAATTATAAACATATGCCACGTTTTTTATGTAAAAATTGACATTTAATTTGACTCCAGCTTCGTGTCGTATGCTGTAATCAGGTCGTACTCGACCCAATTTTCCAGTACAAAAAAAAAATGTATACTTCTAAAATCCATCAAAGACATATTGAGAAAGTTGTAAGGATCTTGTATATAAATACTTATATTCGTTTTATACAAGTAAATTCAAATGTCGGAGAGGTAACTGACCATAAGCATTATCATTTTTCTAGTAGTAGTGATGCTTAAACGGGAAATAACCTAGGGGCGAACTAAAATGATGAAGTTTCGCAGGAACAGGTTCTTACATCGACATCAAGAGCGTGGGAGAAAGTAGATCTGTTATCCCCATTCCTGACTCGACTCTGCATTCTGTCGAAAAACAAAGGGGGGGAATTGATGTTTAATGTATCAAAAATATGTTTACGGCGAAGTAAACCTTTTTTCACGAATTTAAGAAAAATCAAAGCCCGTAGACATATGAGGAGACAGGAGGAATGAGTCTCCTATCAGTTTTAAATTAATGCTTTAAAAATACTACAATGGCACATTTATTGGTAGAGTTAGTAAACGAGGATTAACGAATTCAATAATGTTCCGGCATAGAATATAGTCTCGTGAATGATTAAACAATTTTACGTAATAATTAAATGCGTTATCTGTTTTTATATTTCCATATGTACAGTACATTATATTTAAGCTGCTTCAAGGTCGTAGTGCAGTAAATGTAATTTTTGCAATGGGGTGGAGTCTAAACAAGTGATTACAGTTAACGTACATTGAAGGAAAAAAAAACGAACGTAACGATTTCTTTAGAAAACTGTCCAGGAAACGTTAAATATTCGTCTGACGGAAGAATGATAAAATATATTATGTAAATTTATATTTTGTTGTTATAAGTATATACACTATCAGCATGCGTACCAAATCTACGATGCGAGGATTTAGAAGAATTAATAATGCAAAGTGTATAGCTGCATCTTCATTAATATTTATATTTTCTTACAGGGACGTTTTAATTCGGAAATCTTGTTCCTAAATTATTTTAAATAAGAAAGAATATATGTAGAAAGTGTAATATCGAGGCGGTAATGAATAGTAATTGATAAAAATTCTTTCATTAAAAAAAAAGAAAACGAAACTCCGAAACAAACTAAAAGACCAGTTATTTTAGAGTAGAGGGCTTAGTTTATTCTTATTCTTATTGTTATTATATTTAAACGTGTTTCTAAAAATATAAAGTATTTATTACAAATAATTTTAAATGCTAATTTCATCTTTGAAATATTTTTCAAGGAAAAATTATAGAAAACAAGTGCATGTTTTTTTTTTACGTATACATGTGTGCGTATGTATAAAATATAATTACTGTTTAATAATTATTAATAGGCCTACAGTATACTATATAAAGTTTGGAGAAACATTTTAACTTAATGTTATGATAAAAAAATAATCAATATTAAAATTNTTGATTTACATTGCATTCAACGCATAATTAATACTTTTATTTTTTTGTGTAATGCATGGGAGTCAGCAGAAAATTTTTCAGCAAAGTTTGGAGACAAATAATTACATCAATAAGTTTTTATTTATTTAATTTTTGGTTTTTTTACAAGTATGTTATAGAATACAATATTTCATCAAAGTTTTTATGATCAAAGGTGTAAGGTTAAATATTTTAGTCACTTTTACAATTATAAATTGTGGAATGTTTCATTTGATACCAAGGGAGGGCAAGGGCCCCGTTTTCCATGTCTGCAGATGCCCCTGGTGTAATGATAATATAACAATGTACAAAATCTCATTTCTTTGTACACAAAAACTACACTAACATTATAAAGTATTTGCAGACATTTAATTTTTTAAAGTTTAATTTATATTTATCTTTAACAATTTACCACACTTAAATGCTATTAGTACTTCTTGTAGACATTCCTTTACATGTGTCTACTGTGTTACTGTTATAATGCATTCTACTCTTCATTCCAATGTTTTAAATTCAAAATCTGTTATGGAAAACATGAAGCATGTTAAAGTTTATTGTACGATAAGTGAATGATTATACAATGCACTCTTGCTAATCTGAACTTGCCCTTATCCAAATTTTATTTAATTTAAAGCAATTTTGTTCATTTTCCCTGAAAGGTCCAGTGAAAACAAAAAGAAATCATATATTATTTTTTAAAAACATGACAAATTTGTAAAATTAACTTTACTACATATTTTTATACTAAAGTTTAAAATAAATTTATAAATGTGTTTAAATATAAGTATTTATCTTTAGCCCTTTGTGACTTCCTTCCTTTATATATAACATCACTAATATGAACAATCTCATATGGTTATTAATTTGGATTTACAAGCATGTAATGTATTTATAATTTGGTACATATGGCTACATCTGTGGCTTGGAAGAATTTACAATTATATCTCAATTTATCATATATAAAGAATTGTTTTACAAAAATAATGAAGTAATATGGCTATGTATTTTGAAAGGTTAAATTTTAAAATATTTCCTTCTTTTAAAGACTCCATTATGTGTATAATACTGTATATATAATTGATTGTTTATCTTCCTAGTAATTATGAGTACAGAATGACAAAAATATTTATTGTGTCATTAAAAATAATTAATGCTCTAAAGCCACACCAAACACTGAGTTTCGGTGAATGCAATGGGATTTGCACAACCTCCTGGGGGTGTTCTGATGCCCAAATGCAACAATTTTGAGTGTTCACATCCTCATTTAGGTAAAAATGGACCTCATCTCCCCAAAGAATTATCCACAGCCAAGCATCATCCTGGCAAGAAATGTCAGAGCAAATGTCAACTGTGTAGCATGGTCGTTTGGTTTTAATTCTTGCAGGCAGCTTATCTTGGATGGATAGAACTTGAAAACTTTTTGCAGAACTTGCCATACCATTGAAGGTGTCATTTCCAATTGTCATGCCACTCCCTGGGCGCTGCTACTACCAGCAACCTACTATCCTGTGAACCTTCAATGAGTGCAGTCACAACATCACTAACTGTCTGTGCAGACACTGGTTTCCACCCTCTACCAAGCTGAACTGCTAAGGATCCTATCTCTTCAAATTTCTTTATCAAGTCTTTCAATGCATTAATTAATAGATGACCTCTGCGCAGGTTGTTACATGTTCTAAACTCACGAAGAGTGCCCGGTGCACTCAATTGGTTAAGATACTAAAGTTTCACAAGCAACGCACGCTGAGGTAACGAAAGATGCATGTTGAACTCTGCTGATGTCCAGAATGAGCTTTGGACTTTTGTCCTTGTCTTTTAAGCCAAATTAGGTGGCACTGCTGTCGACCATGTCATTTTGAATTTGGATTTTGAGGTGTTACCAGTGCATTATGCAAATTCTTCGCTACAACAGCGCCAAATCCACCTCTACCGGCGAATTTGGGTACTACTATTTTTCTTCGCGGAATCTTTCCCATGATGTCCTTAGTCACTCTCCCAAATTTGGCAATAGTCCCGCTGTTAGATTGCTCTACAGATGAGTACAGTCAGTTTAAAAAAAACACCCTATATATGATATGTTCAATGCATTCTCTCTCATTAACCATTCATGGTATTATCAGTGTATTGTACAAAACTGTAATGAATGCAGCGCATTAAAATGACATTTCTGTTGATCCAGACTATTCTGGCTTTATGGCTATTTTGTATAAAATATTTTAAAAATTTTTTAAATGGATTTCATATAATTTTAAATAGCAATTAATTTGGTAAATATCCCACATTTGAAACTGAAGTTAATTTTGGTAAATTTAAATGTAAAGTTCACAAAATCTTTGGTTTACAAACTCTGTTTAAAACTGGTTTAAACAGACTAATAAAGTGTTACAAACTCTGGTTTAAAATTCTGTTAAAGCTAAATTATTTTATTAAAAATGTTATTAAGTTTTTTAAGCTAGGAAGAAAACTTTAAAAAAAAAAGATGTCATGGTTGGGGAGGAACTGTTTTCACTGTTGGGTTAAACGGTATTAGATTTATTACCATATTTACGCAAGTAGCAACATATTTTTTAAATGACATATGCCAAAATTTGATTAGTTGCACACTTCTATAGTGAGGCAAATGATATAACGTGCGAGAAAATCTACGGTATAGTTCTGAATATGCAAATTAGAAAGTGTCACAGCCCCCTTTTCGAATTTTTTCTTCTTCTAAATAGCTCTAAAAATTGTGTGTCGTATAAGTTTACTATTCGCGATGAAGAATGACTTGGCACTGAGCCTGTTCGATAATGATAACGTAACTGCTGCTGTAGCCTTGTTTACTTTTAGTAATTATAATAAACTAAACAATCGATAAATAAGAATGATCTTATAGATTTGCTTCTTTTTTTAAATTTGCTTTTTATGGAAATAAATCTACGTATTTTTATGGTGATGTTTTGAAGAAAACGAAAGATATAACGGTTCGACGAAGGCGATCGAGATTAAAAATTTAAATGAATACTTCACTAATTTGACGAGTAAAGGAATAGCCGAGCAATATAATGTAATTAAGTGTTTTCCAGTTTATTATTTTTATATGTTATAAATTAAATTATCTGAAATAAAATATTCATGTCGTTGTTCAGAGTTTAAAATTCGGTCCGTCAAAATCAACCGAAATCGGGAAGAAAGCGGAAAATAAAATGAAAAATAGGTACATGGATTTATTGCCGTGTAAGTATCTTTTTAAACAGAAATTATATAGTTTAATTTAAAAATTTAACTATTTACATTGCAGTTATACATAAAAATATTTTAGATGAGAACGAAGATTGTTTATTTAATCATAAAAATTATAAAAGAAAAACAGCGCGGGCATTTTATATCCACAGCATGCTGCAGTGAATAGACAGTTTCGTGTCTACTTATGCTCCATGTGTTCTTTTGAATACTGTAAATATATATACGTACTGTATATGGAATGTATGTATATTAGTATATAGTATACTGTGTATATATTCAAGAGAATTCCTTTCTGTTACGGTTACACAAGAGAAAACAGTACACGTAGAGTAATAGTTTCTCGAGAAAAACTGTAGAGAATTGGTTTTCCTTGAGTACTTCGCTAGAATCAGTTCTTCATTGAGAAACGAGCAATCAATATTCTATGGAATATTTCTCTCTCTTGAACCATAGAAGAGGGATCGACGAATTCACGAAATGTATTGTGAAAATAGAAATGACAAAAATTCATTCTATAACACATACTAGAAGCCAAACTAATACGCTATTTACTTTATAAGTACGAGGAAGGTTTTTTCTAATTAAGTTTTTACATTACGTCAATTGGGTCCTTATATTAATTATATAAGATAATATACAATAAACATAGACATGTAGCAAGACAAGGATAATCTAATAAACTGCGAAATACCACCGAAGAGACTCAATTTTGTTAATTAATTTTTAATATATTCTTTTTAGACGACGATACTCGAGTGATTTTAAAAAATCACCCGAAAGAAAATTCGGAAGTATCAGATTACATTAATGCCAATTATATTGATGTAAGTCAGATTTCATTATATGGTGAGCCTTTTATTCATTTATTTTTATTCCTAATTAAAAATTAACCGATAAAAACTTTTGTTTTCAGGGTTACAAAAAAGCTAAAGCTTACATATCCACTCAAGGTAAGATAAAAAAGCAAATATTTATTGTGCGATCTGAAAACAATGGAATGATATAATCTAAATCTAGGTCCATTGGAAAGAACTATAATCGACTTTTGGCACATGATATGGCAAGAAAAAGCTTGCAAAATTATCATGGCTGCCAATATTATTGAAGATTGCAAGGTAATAAATAAAACAAATTTCTCGGAAAGCACATTATCGCCACTATTACCCTAACGTATCTATAAAACTTGCAGAAAAAATGTGAGAAGTACTGGCCAGATACAACAGCTTCTTACGGAGATATTACTATTACTTTACAGTCAGAAAAATGCTATCTAGATTATACAATTCGCAACTTTCTGCTCCATCACGTAAGTAAATTTATATCCTTGCCTTTTTTTTATTGCTGAAACGTAATGCTGTAATAAATTATATTTTAGAAAGACGGAACGAGTAGACACATCAGGCAATATCACTTCACGGCATGGCCAGATCACGGTGTTCCTTTATACCCCTTATCTTTAGTAATGCTTCTGAAGGCTGCAAAAAAGTATCAGCCGTTCTGCGAGGCCCCGTTAGTTCTTCATTGTAGGTACGTGACGGCTCATTTAAATGAAATGTTGCTGACACTTGACCTCTTGTTAATAACAAGCTTACTATTACTAGCGCCGGCGTAGGTAGATCCGGCACCGTTATGCTGTTAGATGCGGCCATAGATATGGCAGAAAACGAAGGATACGTAGACATCGTCAGCATGTTAGCAAAGATGAGGCAGAGCAGATCAAATTTAGTAGAGACTGTGGTAAAAAAATATATATATATATATTTTTTAAGTGAATTTAGTAGACACGATTGATAAACATTAACCGATACTTTACACTTACTGATTCTTTACATTCTTTATTCTTCTTTCGTTGCCGATACGCGTATCGGCAACGAAAGAAGAATAAAGAATGTAAAGAAAGCCTAGTGTCATGTATAAATTACACTTCATTGTGTTGAGTAAATAAATAATTAACTGATATACAAATTTTATTTTTTCTAGGAGCAATTTACATTTGTATACAGAGCCCTAGTCGATTACTTCTGTGGGGAAGTGACGCAAAAATCGTGCGACGAATTCCAAACTTATTATAATTTGAAAGAGAGCGAATCGTCTAAAACTTTATTAAAACAGCAATTCGAGGTATAATATACTTATTAATGAATTTTATTAATCATTAGAATATTTATTTCTGTGTTTAAACAGAGGCTGAAAGCACTAATATCAGTCGAGACGTCTTCATTATCGGTTCAATCTCGATTTTATTTCAAGGCTCCGAACAGTTTGACGGGTACTGCTCCTCTATTACTATTATCATCCTCAATTTAAAACAAATTAATCTCTGATGAAACATTTTTTAATTACAGGAGAAACAGCGCATAATTCGGATAATTGCAAACAAGAGCTGAACCATTTCTACGTTAATGTAAGTGATCTTTTAAGTGTAACTAATATTGGAGCGAACTGATAACAATGCGATTTACAGGGTCACGGAAAACGAAATGCTTACATTGTAATCCAGTATCCAAAAGTAGAATGCATTCATGAATTCTGGCAATTAGCATACGATGTAGAATCTAGAATTATTATAGTATTTGGCCACGCGAATAGCCAAGAGGTAAAATACGAAACACATCAATTTTTCTCGAACTTGTAGCACGTTTATTAATTACAATGTCCATTCTAGAACAAATATCCTACGTATTGGCCAGAATCGAATACATTACATCAAGGGAATTTAAAAATCGATTATATTACTTCCGAATTGAACTTCGGAGTACTAATTCATACGTTCAATCTACGAAATTCTGTAGAGGTGAGTTTGGTAATTATGAATTCCTAAACATAGTTATTAGTGATGCGAATGTGCGATTGTTTTCTTTACAAGCGAATTGTTAATTGTCTACGTCTTTTAATATTATAGTGTTGAGAGAGGAGATGGCCTAGCAATTTCCAATAAGAGTTGTAAATAACTCTGGAAAAGTTTTATAAATTTTTATGTAAATTCTAAATGATGATAATGCTTTTTCGGTTAAATTTATTGTTGTATGTCATTAACAGACAGTTTTAATGAAAAATAGTTTATTTGTGTGTTGTACATACGGCAGAAAATATATTATTATTAATATTTAACGTTTTAGTTTTAATTTTGGACACAAATTTTGTTTGATTGGAACAGAGATTTTTCGCTTTATTTTGCATTTATCTAGCCGCAGACTTCTAGGGTAATAAAGCAGTGTCATATTCTGGACTGGGACGAGAGCGAAGATTGGCCACCTCCGAAAAATACTATAATAAACCTATTTAACGCATTAGAAACGTCGTTAAAAGGAAAACCTGTCTTAATAGTTTACAAGTACGTTTTAAGTAAGCCGAAATTTCTTTGTTAAAGCCAAACAAAACAAAAAACATTTTCTAAATTCTTTTAGGAATAATCCTTGCTGCGCAGGATTCATCTGTGCATCCTGGATCATCTATCGTCAAGTAATCGAAGATCGCTTAGTCGACGTCTTTACCGCAGTTAGAACAATCAGGAGGAATCAACCTTCTTTTATTAACTCGCTGGTAATTAATTAATTGTTATTTCGTTCGACTTAGCAACGAATCGCATTCGTAAATTCATAGAATTTTTCATTTTTCAGGAAAGTTATCAAAAATTATATGACCTAGCATCGAGTATCGTAAACGAGAACAATTCCAAATTGTGATATTTAATCGGAAATTATGGTTGTGCACGATTTTAATACGCCGGAAAAACTCTTTCAACGTGTTTTATCACTGCATTAACGACTTACAACTTCGTTTTTGATTGTTTGAAGCTTTGCAATTAACTTTAATCGGGTAATTAAGAATTATAATAAGAATAATCAGTTAGCTGATGATAAAATATTCTAGAAAACTTCAAAACATAAGTGAGATTATTTTCAATTCTATATGAACTCACTCTAACTAGACTCGATTAACTGGAAGCGCAATGATTCTCATTCCGAATAATCTATTATTAGGAAGAGGATCTTATCTATTATTTTATATATTTATAGATATAGACAGTCCTATTAGTTACAAGATTTGTGATCAGACCCTTTCAACGGAGAGTAGAACTATTAATGTATCATAATATAGTAGTTTAGTTGTAGATTTTTCAGTTTAAAAAAAGTTTTTCATTAGACAGATTTATTTTATTAGCTCAGTTGGTTAGTAAAATTCTGTTAAGAATTCCTCAGGAGTATTGGGAATCTGTCAAGGTATCCCACCAATCCAATTAGCTAATGACTTATACGTGTCATAATTAGGTAAATGGAGATTAGTTACTAGATATAACTTTACAACTTTATCATAAATTCAGCTTAATCTTGCAAGTTCAGTAACGATGTATCGTTCTAAATCTTTTTAACGTACAGTACCAATTATTCAATATCTAGACCATCACTAACGATCATAAGGCGCGAATAATCAAAATTTTCCATTTTTGTGGCACGTAAAAGATGGGGGGAACCTATCACGTTAATGTAATTGTGGCAAGTTTCAGCCATCCTTACAATGCCAGTTATCTGCTCATTAATTGATAAATGCGGGAAATGAAACCAATTATCGGTCTAGAAATTACTTAGGTAGCGTTTTCTAACCATTCACACATTTATAGAAGGTCACGCACAAATGTGATAATTAATTCTTTCCTTATTAACGAAAATGACGATTGTACTGGGGCGTGACTTTGATAACTTTTTAAATATTATAATTATTTATAATTAAATCATTAAGCATATTACTTATTTATTACTTTTTTGTACAATTAAAATTAATAAATTTTGTATAGTACCATTTTAAAAAAGTCCTGTAATATTTTATAAAATAATAATAAAAAAGAAACATTGAATTAACTCACCACCACTAGATGCCACTAAACGAATCTGCCAGTGAAAGGGATAAAAAATGTTTGTCACATTGATGGTCCACAATAAACTGTTGTGTCCGGCAGGTTGTCATGGCTACCTTATGCCACGTGACTTATCACATGTTCCATCTGCTGAAGGGTTAGAAGCAAACACAAGTCGGTGGCATGTGGTTCTGGCTACTCGCAATTCATTTTTTCTCTGTCATACGTACAGAAGATACAGGTAAGACCATTTTACTTTTCTATGCTGAAATGAGATAAATGGATTAGAAGATTAGTGTCAAAGCACTTATACAATATTACAATAATTAATATCTTACTATAATATATCAGCACTATCAGGAAACAAAACTTATTCCTGAAGAACTACCTTACAGGGGGAATACATATAATATTCATCGCAAAGAAAAAGTATCAGGGACAATCGTCGAAATCATCAGGGACAATGTCCTGATGATTTCGACGAATACTTATAAATAAAATCGATGTTTAATTAAATTTTTTTTAAAATTTAAATGCCATTTCCATTAAGAGCCGTTGAAAAAGAACACGTGATGATAATCTGTTTATGGTGATACGTAAGAAAAACATGGCGTGACATCGTTTGATGACAATATAGGACGTCACACGTTGTTGCTCCACTTATAAATTTCTAGTATTGACCAAGTATTATTGAATTCTGTACATTAAACGTTATAAGATAGAAGAAGAATGCAATAACTCATAGAGGATAGATTACTCTATACGACAAAGACTAATAGTGATAATAAAACTAAAAATTTCTAAAAGATGATGATGATTAATAAATCTTTAGTTTTCATTGAGATTTAAAGAGAACTAAACTGTATTGTATGAAATAAAGGTAAAAGTGTATAAAACTTTCTTTTAACCTATTTTAGTATTATAGACTTTATACTTTAGAAATTGTTAGATTACTTAAACAAAAATGAACTTCGAGATTTGTGAAAATCTTATGAATAAAAGTCCCTTTTACAGTTAGAAAAACTAAAATGAGATAGAACAGTTAACGTAATAATTACACTTTTTTGAAACTAGTTGCTGATTTACAGGATGTAGTTTAAAAAAAAAAAACAAAGTCATTAGTTTTAGCTTAACATTTACATCTTTATATTATTCATTATGTTGATTAACAATAATTTCATCATCTTCATTAAGGAAGTTTACATTTACGACCTGGAAATACTTTTCGGCTTTTAACCCTTTTAAATCCGTAATTAAGTGAAAAAAATATAACATTTTATATAATTGTTTAATTTACTTCATGGAAATTCCTTTAAAGTAAACTCTCTTTACCACACAAAAAGACGAAATTTTCATAAAAAATGTTGGCCTAATTAATATAAAATTTATTAAATTGTTACGAGATGATAGAAACTCCTGTTTAATGCAGAAGAGATTTGTAATAATTCAGCTTATCTACAGCAATTTAATAACAAACTAACATCAAGTATTATCTCTAAGTTAACATCGTATTTATAGAATTCGAATCTCTAAGGGTTAGAGACGAGATGTAACGCTCGAAAGAAATATTAATCACGTTTTGTTTCCCTTTCGTTTGCGATTAAATTAACACGCTAAGTAAATTCACGCAATGCTTTTCAGTAACTTAAGTGGTTTTGTAGCAACAATAATAAACACACATACACTTTCAAAGTTAAAAACACTAATTACCTTAATGTTCATTAACAAAGCCCGAAATTCACTTTAAAATGTTGCTAGAAAACAATATATTTTATACGCTTAGAAAAATTATAATTATATAATAAAATCGATTAAATGATAGAATAATGAAATTTTTGTTAAAATTTTCAATTAATTGGTTGTTTTTTCATTGTTAATGTGGGGTGGCTTATTTTGCTCATTGAGAATCGCCCTGCATCTTTTGTATAAATAAAAAACCCTTTTAATACCTAAAACTTACTTTTTAGTTATCTTAAAAAAATCTCTGCATTGATTTCTATCCTTTATTTTCCTAAAATCCTATCCAATTTAAGCAAAATAAGCATAATATTTTATACATTCGTATTCCATAAACGTCAGTTATTAAGTTTACTTTAGGGCAAGTATACAAATACGATCGAAACTTAACTTTATGGCTATACGGTAGTTTAGTATCGAAGTTAAGATTAGAAGACGGGAATCAAAACAGTTAACCTAAAAAGAAGAAGGTATCAAGCATCACGTTTCTATAATTGATACCTATCACAGCTTATGATATCACACACATCTAGTATCTTATAGCAAAATAAATGTGTTAGGTACACAGCGGAAGTCATTGATCTGGAGAGGTAAATATATAAAGCGATAATAAATAGAAAACGGTAATCAATAGTGACGTAACTGCTAAAAACGTGGAATCAATGGAATGGATACTGTGATGCGGAAGTGGACGAGTTATTGTCGGCTATAAATTCTGTGTTATACTCATTTGGCGTGCCATCATTCGTATATAAATTTGCTGTGTTTTAATACTACAATCGTGGAGATGGCTTAGTAAATCCCTTTGTTTTTCTCTGTATTCTCGGAATATTATCGCCTAAAAATCGCTTTACGAAGAAACGAAAGGCAAATTATCATAGAGATATCGTCCTCTCCGAAACTAAATTACCAATTTGATGAAGATTTAAGGTCATCTAACGGTTTAGAATTTCCGTTCGACACGAGTTCTGTTAAAAATGCAAAAATATATGACCTGAAGCCTCGACTTTATATTGTTAGTAATTTTCGTAATAAAACAATGACAGCCAAGTAACTTTCGGTGTTATTCGAGCGGAAAACGAAAAGCTCTATTCATTTAAACGACGTCGTCACTCAAACGAATCGCGTGTCCTTCTCTCAGTCCAGCGAAGATAAAGGGGGGATTTTGGCAAAGCGTGAAAAAAGATCGAGGCCGCAAATCGCACGTTAAAACTTCCCATTTTGTGCCGAAAGTATCGAAAATAATCAGAGTAAGACCTCATAAATGCAATGACTTTCAAAGAAATCGTTGTACTTTACCATCAACGAAATGAAACCGATAGAAATTATAATAACTTTGACCTCTCGACCGAGACGAAAATCAGTGATCCTGACTCGATTTAGCGAAGCGAGAATTAATTGGGTTACTATATAACAAGACTAGTTAATCGATACTTTGTATAAGTTCCTGGAGATTTAAATCGGTATATCGGGGTTGGGTTACGAAAAGTTTAAGGATTATTTTAGTTTTAATCAAAGCCAATTATATATAGGCTTATATATATATATCTCAAAGTTTCAAAACTCAATTTAAATATATTCACGCAATAGACTTTTGATTGTTGATTACCTTAATCAGAGGTTCAATGTCTGGATAAGAATTTTCTGTTTAACTCTGTCCATCACGAGTATTTGAATTTAAAATATGACTTATTCTTTTATAAGAATATACGCATATCCTAATGAAAACTTCTTAATTCAAATGTATAGTTTAACTTAAAAATTTCTGCGAAGGTTACATCTATGTAGACTTTATAATCAAGCCATTCCTACTAAAAAAAATCCAGCAATAAGTTGGTTAACTTTCCAGGCGAAAATGTGAAAAGTGTGTATAATGTCACCTGATTTTATATTCTTATTATAAACTGGCAAAAAGTTTAATTTCGAGGGTGCAGACAAGTTTTATAAAATACTGTAAACTCTAATAATGAGTAAAATATTTATTAAGTCCGACCCCATTCAAGATATGATACGTGACCTACCTCTGTCTTCCCATTCCCTCGACCTTTAACCACCAAAATTTAATAGCATCAATCCCTCTAATACGCAAACTTTTCCAGAAATTTTCGGCAAAAATTCCAGCAGTTATTAAGCTTCAAAGTGCGTAAAGTAAAATGATCGGATTTGGAGTTATCAAAGCGTATATAAGGTCTATATACTTCTCCAGAATTTAAAATGCTTTAATTTTAATCTAATGAATGTAAATGATTATTAAAAATTCACCTTGTACAGTACTTATATACAAACATATAAATTCATAAAGTAAAATTTAAAGCCAGAAATATGAATTTATATTTTAAAAAATGTAACTAAATTTCATTTAAAATAGCCGACATTTTTCTTTTAGAAATAAATTCAATTCTTCACAACTAGAAAGAGAACGATTCACTTTTTATATTAATACGAACACGAAGAAAATAACATTATTTATATAGGTCTATATTCACTTTACATTACACTCGGAACGTATTAAATTTTATTCGAATCTCTAAAGCAGGAAGAAACTTCAACAACTAAATAATTACTTTATATGTTTCTAGATAAGTAAATAAATAAAAACAAAACTTGAAATATTTAAATCAAAACAATAAATTAATAACAACGGGGCAACCGAAAACATTTTCATTATTCCTAATTACACAGATTAATATCCAGAAAGAAAAAATAAATTGATATAAAAACATTAATTTTTCATACGAATAGCTGTTTATAAATTAAAAAATTAATACAGCAAGTAAATAAATTTACTAGGCACATAATTCGTATGTATATAATTCAATTTAGTTGCAACCTGTACATTTTTAAAATCAGATTTTTAATTTTTTTTAATGTTTTTATTTATTTATTTATTTAATTTCTTTATGACGTACGTATTGATTGCTGTTTCCCAGGGTTACAAACAAGTCTTAAAGAATATATATAATCAATGACCGAAAAAGCCACGTTAGACTATCTTAACCACTGTTTTGTAATTCGCTTTAAATCGATAATTACAAAAAGTACGTGATTAATTTTTACGTGGCGATCAATTTTAAATTATATTTGTTTCTTCGGGTCAAATTTCTATAAATAATTTTTAAAATGAGATTCTAAACGTCGATTTTATTGACGAATGGCTTATAACGTATCGAATACATCTCACTTGATTCGTTACAAAAGTATTTATTTAAATTTATAGAGAAGAGAATTGTTTTATGCTAAACTTTTTATATCGAATCGATAAAATTCCCTTCGACACGCTTTAACAATATTTTATTCATGCTTGTTTATATAATTTAAATGCAACTAGATCCGAACGGCTTAAATTAAATATGTTCGAAATATGGGGGGTTTCTTAAAGTGCTGTTTTGTATGGTAAGTACTTTTAGAAATAGACATGTGAGCAAAATATAAATAAATAAAGGTGGATAAACATGCTAGAAATATAATATTTTGGTACTTAGAGTAAATTATTTATATAAAATTTTGATTTTTTAGAAAGCGATCGAG